ACGCCCCCGAGGGCGTTCGTCTTCCGCGCGTTCGACTTCCGCGGCGACGCGCGGCGGATCGCGCGCGTGCCCCGGAGGAGCGCGTCCTCTTTCGGCGGCGCCTCCGGCTGCTCCGCCGGCTCCTCGGGCTCCTCGGGCCGCGGCGCGCAGGTGTACTCGCCGGACTCGAGCACGCGGTAGTTCTCGACCTGCGGCGGGGGGGGGGGGGGGCGCGTCGGGTTTCCTCGCGGCGGCGCGGACGCGGCCCTTTACGGCATCGGTCATGCTTTTGATCAACTGGCGGTAGGTGACCTGCGTCTTGTTCCGCAGGGGCCGCGCGGGCTGCGCGACGACCTTCGTCGGGTCCCGCGGCGCGGCCGCGGGGCCCAGCCAGTGGTGCTCCCGCTCGTCCTGCTCGTCCAAAAGCTTGACGGCGTCGATGGCCGCGAGGGCCAGGTTCGGCAGCGGCTCGTGGGCCCCGTGGTGGCCCTTCTTCCCGTGGCCCTTCCCGTGGTGGCCCTTCTTCGGCCGGCCCATGGCCGGGCGAGCCCACGCCGCCGGCCGCCGCCGGGGGCGACGCGCAAGCCCAAAGAGATTGGTGAAGTTAAAAACTGCTGATGGGGCAGCCTCCCTAGATCCGAGAGTCAACGTCTCGCAAGATGCACCGGCCCTTGAAGCCTGCGGCGAGACGATAGATGTCTTGCCGCTTGCTGCTCAACGTCGCCGCCCTCCTCGTCGTCGCGGAGGCGTACGTCGTCGCGCCGCGCCGCGCCGTGCGGCGCTGCGCGCATTTGCGCGCGAACGCGCCGGACGCGGCGCCGGCGCGCGTCGGGCGGCTCCGGCGGCTCTACCGCTGGCTCCGGCCGTCCGCGGCCGGCGCGCCGCCGCTGAGCGGCGACGAGGTCGTGGGCCTCGTCGTCCTCGGCATGCCGCGCGCGGACGCCGAGGCGCTGCCGCCGGCGGAGGCGCGGCGACTCCTCGCGGACGCCGGCTGGCGCGCGGCGGGCGCCGAGGCCGCGGAGCCGGCGGAGCGGCGACCGCCGGACTCGAAGACGACCCACGGGAATCCGTTCTCCGGCCGCAACGGCTTCGCGGAGATCGGCGTCTGCATGTGCGAACACGACGGCGGCGACGCCGCCGCGCCCGCCGATCCGGCGCCCGCCGC